TTGTTGTTGTTATGTGCCGTCGAGTCGGCCCCGACTCATAGCAACCCCTCCTTGGGTTTCCAAGGCAGTATCACTACGGAAGTAGGATTGCCCAATCTTCCTTCCGAGGAGTGGTAAAGAACTAGGCAATATTTTATTGTTAAACATAAGGTTGCTGGGAGTTGGATGGTAACTAACATGTCCCCTCAGGAGTTTCTCTCTCCTTAGATACATGACTGTCCATTGAAGGCAGAAAGCTTTGCAGGGAAGAAAAATTAGCATGTTAATAAACATTTGTTGAAGTGACGGAGCCAAGAAAAAACGCAGAACATAATTAAAGTTCTAAGAACCTTACTTAAATGAACTTTCTCTGTACCATCTTAGGAGCTCTGGTGGCATAATGCCTAAGGCACTTGACTGCTAACCAGAAGGCTGGCGATTCAAACCCATCAACCACTCCTCGGAAGGAAGGTTGGGCACTCTTCCATAGTAATACCTCCATAGTGATATTGCCTTGGAAACTGAAGGAGGGGTTGGTGAGTCCAACTCAACAGCAATGAGTTTGGTTTTCGGTTGTACCAAAACTGGGCTATCAAAGCACACTATAGCTTCAGTTCAACAACAAAATTAGTATTTTTGAGTTAATCCTTTCATCGCCAAATTATTTTCTGCTTTGAATTTTTGTTCATGCCATGTATTCTGAGTAATGGAAGGTATACTGATATAAAGAGAAAAAAATTTGAGGTAATATGGATTTTGATTATATAGGACACTTATGTTCCAAGTGGACACTGGTGGTAGGATTGGTAAAGTAAGGCCCATTTCTTCAGATCCACAGAATGATACACATCACCCACTAGGCAACAGCAACTACAACTGGGATAGAAGCTTCCACAAAAAACTGAGAGGCTAAAATGTTGGTGTGTGATATATGTCCCACAGTCCACAAAAGGGTCACTACTGATAGGGAACAAAAGCTTCCTGAAACCCCATAAATAATCTGACCCAGACATACCAACTAACTCATAGCATTTTTCTGTATGAACATCAACGTAAGGCTTTCCCACTGGCCCTTAAAGTTGTGTTAGAAAGACTGGGTTGGTATGCATCCTACAGTTATTCTTGGAGATATTTCAGACTGTTGCTTTGTTCTTATCCATAAACATACTGTAGAGTCTACAATATGTTACAAAACTATGAAAGCTACTTAGTACTTTTCAATTTAATACACACACACACACAATTTTAAGGGTCAAGTGCTCCCTTACAGCTAAAGCTATGTTCTTTTGAAATGCATATACTACAACCTCCACTAATAGTTTAACTGGTAAATTTTAATCTTCAGTCCAAAATTTTATATTAAAATTGGGAACTTAAGGATAATTCTATATTAATTTATCATAATCAGACTGTAGCAGATTTAACCTATGGTGTGTTTACTAGAAACCTTTGATATTTGATAAACTTACAGTATAAAAGTGAAATTAGTGTGCGATATTTTTAGAGCTGATGAAAAAAGCCTATTTTTTCACTTGTTGTTAAGTGCCGCCAAGTTGTTTCCGACTCATAGTGACCCCATGCACAGCAGAACTAAACACTGCCCGATCCCACGCCAGCCCCACAATCCCTGCTATACTTGAGCCCATCATCGCAGCCATCGTGTCAATCCATCTCATTGAAGGCCTCCCCCTCTTT